ATGCACTCTGTCTTCCCCTGAGATATCAATCAACAACTGAGCTCTCTACCAGCCATGAGGCACAAGAGAATTGCTTCAGAACAAGAAGAGTCCATGTTAAAGCCTTGCTATGGATTATTCAGATATTGACAGTGATTCTACTTTGGGATACAGCGATGATGAAGATTCCAGTGATGAAGTTCAAAGGATATCAGAGTCAGTGCACAGAAAATTGTTATTTGCAAATATTTTTGATATCTTTTATGTTCTATAGTTTCATTGAAAGGAATGCCTAACTCAACCAAAAATACTTAAAAAGTGAACAAATCTAAACTGCATAGCTTTGACAGTAATTATTTATTAATCAATAGCAACTTTGTGAAATATCTGTTGATCTGCCAAATAGTAGCTACTTCTGTGGAGGCACATGCTTATTAATTGCTATGCTGTAATCAACTAATACTGGTACAGAAATTAATGAATAAGAGATTTTATTTTTAAAGACAATGTACATGCTAGGCCTGGATGGTTATATAGGTATATGGACATTTACTTGCTATAAAGAAGTGTGTTGAGTATCCAGAGGCATTATGTGTTTGGTGAAAGGTTTTAATTAAATATATTATACATTGTCTTATAACTGTAGTTATAAAACTGTCTCATGCTCAATGTGTTTTTCAAAGTCTCGTATATTTGTTTATTAGAAATTATCAAATACCTTGATCTGCCAAAAACTAAAATTGAAAATCTGTTTTTAAAAATGACATCATCTCCCTTTTTGTTCTCTTTTCCTGTGTCTAAACCCATATTATGTGAAACCCTGCTAAGTTGGCAGATGTTCTGTGGGAAATAGTATCATAACAGCTATATATGAAGAGAGATAAGTTTAATAACAACATGGAGTTATTAGGACCTTTGTTTTATATGAGTATGCAATACTTTATATCTGAATCCAAATGATATTTGCTTTTGCCATGGTCCTTTGGTCTATAAAGGAAATAAGCATACACGGTAAGTCTCAGTATTGTCAGCTTATATGACTAGTATTCTCTCACTAGAAATTTCTATTGCCCCACATACTGTAGGGGATTAGTATGTGTTGATACTAGGTAAAATAGTATATGGTCTTTCATAGGAGCAGGCTCTCTGAGTATACAGGGATAGCTTTTAGACACCTCATACACTGGCATATGGCATTAAGCACTTTTATAATAGAGACACAATGACAACATAATGGCAACATGAGTTTGGCATTAAATGAACTTGGCATTGAATAATTTGCAATTTTTATGTAGCATTATTATAAAGCAACACAGCAGGGCTAGAAGAGAGTAACAGATAGGAATTCTAATAGTTTGGAAACCAAAATGGTTTATTGAATTAGCTTTGCAATTGGGCAATCATTAATATATCAAAGCTATTTTTATTAACAGTTAAACATATTTTTATAATGATTGACAGAGAGATATGACTACTTACTACTCAGAAGTTATTCTGCATTAAAATTAATTTAGAACTGTTAGGCAATTAAAGTGAGACAGCAGAGTGTATCAACAGTGGACTGTTGTGGAAAAAAACACGGACTTCGGAGCCAGCCAGATCTTTTTTCAAATTCCAGGACTGCAGCTCACTAGCTATGTCTGACTTGGGATGTGTTACCTAACCTTTATCCCCAGAGGAAATCTGAGATCAAATGCCCACTTTCTGTTAAATACATGAAATAATACTGGTGTGAATTGTTTAATGTAGTTCCTGATATACACTAGATTCTCATTAATTGGCAAATATGGTAATCTCCTTTTTAATATGTTATCTCCTCTATGTTATGTATCTCTTCTATTTTGATATATGTCACTTCACTAGGCACAAAGCCTGATTGTAGGCTACAACTTACAAATTTTCCTTTTTAAAATATTTTTAAGTTTTTTGACTATGTTACTCTTCTGAACTTTGATTTTTTCCCCATCTACATTTTAAAATGTCTATGTATATTTTGTTGTAAGAAAATTGCATTCATTTTTACAAAGTATATCCAATGCAGGCCAGATAATATGATGAAATTTTAAAATATTAAAAATTGGCAATGAAATTATTTTAAAAACTTACATGCACAGAAAGTACTACCAAAAGGAAGCATTGTTTTATACATATTATATTCTGAAAGACTGTAAGCAGTTTCTAAATTTCCAAGGTGGAAATATGTTTTAGGGAAAGTTAGATTTAGTGTGATATTCTCTATAAAACCATGATAGTTTGTTTTTGTTTTTTACACTTGCAGTGGTTATATATAATTTATGCTGCCATAAGCCACCTTTTTAGAAACAAGACATTCACACAATTTATGAAAGACCTGATAGGTATTACTGACATGTACTACTTGTTTCCACTTCACCAAAAATTCCCACTCAGAAACTGATAATGGACTTGAAAATATACTGTCCACTTCTATGGAGCAAAAAGAAAAGCCACACTTTGTTCTTGGGTAGGAATGCTTCATAAAACACAGCGCTTCCTGAGGACAGACCTGACAGTATTGCCGATGAGAAGAATTAGAAGTCATATACAGCAGAACACGTTAATCACTATGTGCCCGGCATTGTGATAAATGTATTTCTGATTATCTCATTTAATGCCACAGAGTGGGTGGGCATTCTTACCATCTGCATTTTTACAGATGAGAAAGGCTAGGCTTTCCAATAGCCTGTAGCTTCTCTTTTAAAACCAAGATGGTGTGACTTGTTTAAGAGTTAAAGCCTGAGCTCTGCTGTAGCACCTGAGGGCCACGACTGAGGTGCCTGGGCCATCCCTGTACCTGGCGCCTCCTGAGCACGTCCTAAGTGCCAGACCTTTAGGATAAAATGGGTAGCAAATCTAGCCTTGGCAAATCTAACTCTTCTGTGGTTTAGTTGGATGAACATGGGGTCATTAAACACATAATTGTATAAATTATAAACGGTGATAGGTCGTTAGATGAAGAGGTACATAGAAGAAACCTGCTCTGGTTACTTTAGATGGCATCCCTGAGGGAGGGGCCTGTGGACTGAGGTCTAAAGGATTAGCAGGGGTGAGGTGAGCCAGGCAAGGAGTTGGGGACAGATTGCTAGGCTCAGGGAGGCAGGTTAAGGGAGATGAGATGTTCAGGAATGGAAAGGAGGCCAGTTTGGCTGGAAAGTGGAGAAGGTGAGGGAGGCATTGGAAGGCTGGTACTGCGAGTTGTGGAGATGATAATAAAAATTTTTAAATTACAAGAGAACTTAGTATGGTAGGCAGATTAAAAATACACAATAATCTCCCTGGCTGGCGTAGCTCAGTGGATTGAGCACGGGCTGCGAACCAAAGTGTCGCAGGTTCGATTCCCAGTCAGGGCACATGCCTGGGTTGCAGGCCATGACCCACAACAACTGCACATTGATGTTTCTCTCTCTCTCTCTTTCTCCCTCCCTTTTCTCTCTAAAAATAAATAAATAAAATCTTTCAAAAAAAAGGAAACATTCTTCTTTAAAAAAATAATATACAATAATCAATAGTTTTTTATTTTCCTAGTAAGAAACAGAAATGGGAAAGGAATGCCACTCATAAGAGAAACTAATTATATAAAACAACTAAGAATACTGTTTTAAAATGTCAGAACCCAAGTAAAAAAGATTGAAAAATCTTATTTAAAGACAAAAGAAAACAACTAAATCTGAACAAGTGGAGAGTCATGCCATGTTTTAGTATGGAAATTAATCTAATCACCGAGTCCTTTTTCTGAAATCAATGTGCAAATGTAAATAAAACTCTACCAGAGTCCCAATGTGGATTTCTTTAGAAGAAAAATTATTTTAAAGCCTGTATGAAATATGAATATTTAAGAAAATCATCCAAGTATTTCTATAAAAGCTTTTAGTAGGAGCGAATTTGCTTTACCAAATATTAAATATGAAATAGATACTATAAAGCAACAGTGATGTAGCATCAATGAAAGAAAAAAGGTCAGTGGAAAATACAGAGTGTAGAATGATATGTGGAACTTAGTGTATTTAAAAAAACATAAGAATCCACTGGGAACATCTTTATTTTTAAGACTTATTTGTATATTCTGTCATTAGAGACATGTGATGCTTTAATTATGCTTTTTAGAATGTGTTAATACTATATTATTTTCTATGTACATATCTCTGTAATGCATTTCAAACATATTTATCATTAATTATACTAACTTAGACATTTTAATTTTATAGGAAAGAGTACATTTTCAAGTATAGCCTCATGTTTTCATGACATTGGTACCATTAAATTTTCAGTAGCTCAAAATGACATGAGAATGCTAATTTACTAACTCCACCCCTGACCACTGGATAAGACATAGATTTCAGGGCAGACTTGTAAAGGCTTAAGAGGTTAATAAATATCCCTATACTGACGAATTAAAAGATTCTAAAGAGACACTATATACAAATTTGAGTTAGTGTGAGTAAGATTTATCAAATACTCCTAAAGATCCATAAATGCTGGTGCAGATGCATAACTGTGGACTATGAATTGCCAAAAGATTAGCCTCATAAAACACATGGTCTCTAAAGTAAGGAAATAATTGAAAGAGATCAATCATTCTCCAGGTTACAGTGATAAATTCCTGTACACGGGAATTAAAGTCTCCATTTCCAAAATATATCTTTAGGTCCTTTAAAGATTTTCATCTGTCCATGTTCATGACTGTCTTTATCATTATCCAATTAATTCATTAATTCTCCCAAAAGCATAGGGAGTGATGATATAAAGTTTTGTTTCACTTGTACAAGTGAAACTTTAGAGATTGGAACTACTGAATTCTATCTGTAAGATTTGTGTGATTCATGACAAGATTAAGGCGGTTCCTCAGGAAAAAGACATTTGAAAGATGAACAAAGCTTAAACGTGGAAGTGGATAAATCAGAAGACTATACATAATTTAGTATGTTTCCTGAATTAATCACAATGAACACTTTTCTTTGATATTAAAGGTTATTTTACTTCCATTTCTTTCTATTTTTATCCAGGGAAGATGTGAGAACAGCCAACGTAATCGCTGCCGAAGCCGTGACCTGCCTTGTGATTGACAGAGAGTGAGTACATCACCTGTTGCTCACGTTGCACACCCACACAAGTGACATACCTCAGTTCTGGGAGTTAGTTAGACACCATTCTACGGAGCTGTTAATATGTGTTTTATATCTCTTTATTTTAAAATGACTTCTCTATTTGATCCTCATTTCCTGTGATTCTTGAAAGTAGCCTGCTCTGCCACTTGTGATCTTCATCAAGGTACTTAACCACTGTGTGCGTCACCCCAGGGAGTGCAGTTGTAAACTGGAGAAAAGGCAGCATTACAGCTACATTGTGAAGGTCACTGGGAACATGCCAGGAAAGCCATGTGTCCAACTCTGCCTCAGTAAGGAGATACTTAAGTGATGCTAGTGGTTTGTGTACATTATTAGAATAATAACAATAACTATAATAATAATATAATAATAGTTATACTTGTGTTATTAGAAAATGGACTATTCTTTGGTCATGGTTTAGTTAGCTCATCTTTTCTTCCATCCCCAGACTCCTATAATAGATACACTTTTAGGAAGACAGTTTTGGAGAGAGCATCAGTTCTAGCCATAGACATATATTTAGGACCATCGTAAGTTTATTCCAAGATTCCTATCCCTGTTCATTCTCTCCATTCTGGCTTGCTGTTCCCATTACTCATCACCTGAGGGCTTTATAGGTTAAACTGCAAATATCAGATTGTTGACTCGACAAGAGCATGATTGAAAAGCATGTTCACTATCTGGAAGCACTACACCAGATTTTCCATTATTTCAGTATTTACTGATAAGTTTATCAGAAAAGGGAACTACCTGACCCAAGAAGGAGGACTGTAAAACATCCGTTTCTACATGATAGGAATAGGCTGTGAGTGTCAGTGCAAAATGAAACAGATGTGATCAGCCCAAAATATTGGAAGTGAATGCTGAGCTCAGAGGAGTGTGAGTAAAGAGGGAACCCACTTGATTCTCACATCTCACATTTGGAAGCCCCTCTGTGTTGGATCTCTTGCTGCGGAGCAGGGGCAGAGCTGCAGAATGATAGTTATATCCAGAAACATCTGTGAAGTAGAGACATTTTATCTGATTCCCAGAAAGTGGAATTTCCCAGTCATTCATTCTTTCACTCAGATAACATTTTACTGAGGATTTACTATATGCAAGACATTGTTAGGGGCCCTGGGAAGCATCAATGGAGTAGCACAGATCCTGGTTCAGGGGTTAGATTCTGGTACAGTTTTGTGGCATATACATAAATAATCATCATGTAAACCAGAATGTAGAAAGGGTCAGGATACACATTTATGGGAGTCTGGAAAGGGGAGTGACTACTCCTGAGAAGAATCAGGGAAGTCTTCATGGAAAAATGGTATTATTAGGTGGACCTAGAAGTACAGGAGAGGCAATATAAATAGAGTGAACAGCATACACAATGCTCACAAAGGAACTATGAGCCATTTAAACTGGCTAGAGTGAGGCTGTGTAAAGGTAGTTGGGGGAAGTATTGGGACAAATAAGTTCATAGATATATTGGGGCTGGTTCACCAAGAACATTGAATATTGAGATAAGGGTGGCTGACAATTATATGCAGCAAAATAATGTCACTATAACACTGTATTTGGTAGGCTGATCTAAGAATGCTGCATAAGATGAATTAGAGGGAGAAGTTAAGGACAGAATATTTGGTGAGGAGTCTATAAATCCAAGTGGTCATCATGAGACCATTCATAGGAGGAATGCATGAGAATGAAGAGGTAAAATCAGAGGGCTTAATACTTGACTGAATGTGAACAGCAAGGGGAAAATTAGGGTTGTAGTCAGAGTTGAGAGGATATAGAAGGAATATGGAAGAGGAATCAGTTTGAGAGGCTCAGGTATTCCACTAGAAATATAATGAATTTGACGTACAAGTTGTGTATTCAAGAACAGATGCCCTACAGGAAGTGCAAAATGTGGGACAAAAACTTGTTAGAATTAACTTAAAATTGCTTACATGGAATTAACAGTTGAGGCCATTAGAATAGATGAAATTACCTGAACAAATAGTGAAGATAAAAGAAGTAGGTTTAGAATTTGGAGAAATTCTTACATAAGAAGATGAATAATATAAAACAGTGAAAAAAACAGATGTTAACAATCAGATCAGTGTAGGAAGCCTCAGAAGCTAAGAAGATTTTAAGAGAAAAGGGATAAAATCCAACAATGTTAAATTCAAGTGAGAAGCCAAAAGACACACAGGTTACTAAACAGCTGGGAGAAAAGTTTTAATAAAGTCATGAGAATGCAGAGGGGCATCAATGGTAATGGAAGGATACTTGACTTGGGGTGGTAAACCCACAATACAATATACAGATGATGTAGAATTGTGTACCTGAAAAATGTAGTTTTATTAACCAATGTCACCCCAATAAATTCAATAGTGTAAAGCATAAAATTTAATATAGTGAATTTTTTAAATAAATAAAATATAATGGAGTCTGAATTACAGAGTGAGTGGGCATTAAGGAAGTGAGCTCCAAGACTAAATGGTTCTTTCCTTCAAGAAATGTGCTTAAAGACAGGAAGAAATAGGGAGGGAGCATAAGGAATTAGCAGGGTCTCAGAGAATTTCCTTATGTTGGATATACACAAGTATCTAGGAGGATGAAACAAATGAAATACTACAGGGAATATTTGCTTAAAGTGGGAACACAGGAGCAGAAAGTGTAGTCAAATGGGAGAGGTCACTTGGAGAACATATCTTTATTTTTTAATTTTCTTAATATAGCAAAATAAAGGAGAGGTAAAAAATTTACAGAGGTGTAGATAAGGAAAGTTATGGATACTTAGATGGTCTTCATCCTGCCTATAAAGAATAAGCAAGAAAATCTGTTGGGGAGGAGTGAGAGTGGGCCTGGGGGTTTGCCACGTGATTGGGAGTGAATGGGTGATCATATCAGTTCAAGTCTTTATAGTCCTTTGTAACTTATGAATTTCCACACATCGAACACTTCTTCTAGACAGTGGCTAAGGTACTTTACAGAAGAGGAAAAGGAAGCCTGTAGAAGTTTAATAATGTGATAGGTTTAATGGTAAATTGTAAAGCCCAGATTAATCAAATCACAAAGAATCAAACTAGATGAGATTGTGTGAGTTATCTAGTCTAGCTCTTTCATTTTCATTCACTGAGGTTCTGAGAGATGCAGAAGTATTAAGTAGCATCACACACATCCTTTTCCCTCATCCTAATTTGCTATGTTCTCAAACCTGTCATATACAGTATACAGTGGGGAGTGCATGGGCTTTGACAAATAAAGCCCAGGACTTGAATCTTGACTGCATCATTTGATGACAATATGGGCAAGTTACTTAAAATCTAAGTCTCAGTTTCCCCATCTGAAAAAAATGATATAATACCTCAAAATTAAAAAGGAATCTGCCTTTTGACCCAGTGATCCCACTTTTGGGAACATATCCAGAAAAAACTCAAAACACTAATTCAAAAGAACATAAGTGCCCCTATGTTCATTGCAATGTTATTTACAATTGCCAAGATATGGAAGCAGCCCAAATGTCTATCAGTAGATGAGTGGATAAAACAGTTATGGAGCATTTACACAATGGGACAATACTCTGCTATAAAAAAGAAAAAATTTCACCCTTTGCGACAGCATGGATGGATGTGGAGAACATTACGCTAAATGAAATAAGCCAGTCAGAAAAAGACAAATTCCATGTGATTTCACTCATATGTGGAATCTAATGAACAAACTGAACTAATGAGCAAAACAGAGACAGACTCATAGATGGAGAGCAGGCTGACAGCTGTTGGCATGAGGGGAGGTTCGGAAGTAGAGGGACATAGAAACAAGGGGAAGGACTCATGGACATGGACAACATTACAGAGACTGCAGGGGGAGGGGGTAAAAGGGGGTTAAATAGTAAAAGGTAAAATACAATAAATTTTTTTTTAAGTACCTAAATTATAAAGTTGGTTTGAAGATCAGCTTAACATAAGGGTCCATAGACAGTACAAGATGTATAGTAAGCTCTCAATAAAGGTTTTCTTCCTATTCTTATAAAAGACATAGAAATTTCTTGGATTTAATAATTTTCCCCTATAATCAGCAAAAGTTTATGTTCAGAGATATATACAAAGAGGAAATGCTGAGTGAGGTCTAGCTTTACACATAAATACAGAGAAGATAGCTTGAGTCTAGGACTCAAGAAGTACATTTCTGTACTCTTAGTAGAAAACTCGGGCTTCCCACCAACACTGAATTCCCATCTTAACCCCCCCCCAAAAAAAATAGAAAAATTGAACTGTAACTGAAGGATCCTGTCAAAAGCCTGGAGCTGGTACCTAATTTATGGCCAATTAGTGGGGCAAACAGATGGCACAACTGTCAGCAAGAGGAGCTTCTTTGCCAAATTTACAAGTGAGGCACCGTGTTACATAGCCCATGATTAAGAGTTATCATTCCAGAGGGAGATTAAATGAACATTGTTGTAACTAATCATGCATGTCAGAAATTATTTTTAAAATGCTCATTGACAAACTAGGAAATGATAAACAGATACGTGCTTTTCTCAAAAAATATTCCTTGAGAATTGGTTTCTTGCCGTCTCATCATTATGTTACTAACTACTAACAAATTGAGAAAACAGATAAAAAAGGATATTAGTCCAGAAGAATAACCTAATTCCATTAGTAAATGTTTCGAATGTATAAAAACTGCTGGGTGTCTTTAGCATCTCTTGCTTCAGAATACATGAAGAAATAAATATAAAATTAAGTGCATTACTGTGTTTCATAATCAGTTATGGAATATTTACTTTTTCATTGGTATAAAAATGTGTTGATGAAGCTAGATGTTCAAGGATGATACTTTATTTTGTGACATTGAGCATTATTAAAGAGAATAACCTAAGTACTAGCAAATAGTAAAATTATATACATATGTCTCTCCAGGAAATTAAGTTCTGAGTTAGACTTGTAACTCTGTTGCAGCTTTACTATGTAACCTCCAAGATGTAGGCATCCTGG